ATTTCTGAAGAAGGGACCCGACCCGAAACGTCAGCTTTCCTGCTCCTCTGATGCTGCCTGGCCTGCTGTGTTCATCCAGCTCTACACTGTTTTCTCAGACTTCAGCATCAGCAGTTCTTACTATCTCTACTTTCTTGTCTACTGCCTATAATCTTTGACTTCCCTGTTAATTAAGAATCTACTTTAACACCACCTTAAACATATTCATTGACCTGCCTCGAGAGGAGAGAATTTCACATATCAATGAGCTTTGGAGAAAAAAATTTCTCATCTCTATCTTAAATGGGAGACCTGAGTGTTTAAGGGTAAGACATCCGCTCACCATTCACCTTGTCAAGTTCCCTTGGATCTTGCCACGGCACAAATAAAAACAGTTGGCATGAAAAATGTAAAGTATCCAGTCTGAATCTGAGAGTCCATCTATAACAAATATTTTCTGTACTCAAAGCAAAATAGAGACCACCTCTGCATTAACACTGAATTTCCTTTTCTTTCATATTTCAGTATTTATGCATATTTTTCGTTCTTATGTAAATTTAAATGACTTGTACTAGCACCAATGATGTAGTTGTGCCAGCAATTTTAGGTGTTGTTCACAGTGGGCTCCCAGTATGAAATGCAGTTTTTTGCACTGTTCTTAATGGTTTTGCACACGATCTGGTCATTAGAATTTTAAAGGAGTGAGACAGTAAAAATGAATCCTAAATACTTAGCACTTACTGATATGCATATAAGGAGGCCAACTTGATTTTTACCTGTTTGTAATAAAGGTAATAGTTGGAAGAATTGAGGATAGGTGACACATGACTGTGTAAATAACAATGACAAACAAGGAGTGGTTTTGGCACAGTTTTCTTTGTACAACAGAATTTGAGAGATCTTTAGAGATAACCGTCTTCAGTGTAATCTACGTTTAAAAACAATAAGTTTGGAGTGCAGTGGTTCTGTATTAGCTGTGGTTCAGTGGTAGTACATTCACCACGGAGTTAGGATGTGGGTTGGAAACTAGGATCCCTTTAAATCTAAATTTTCCTAGTATTTGCTATATAGCATGAGATTTCATTTAATTGCTATTATAGTAACTGACTTTCCAAGTTTCTAGCATATGAAAACAAAGGTAGGAATCACAAATCACTGAGGTCACGGTACTCCATTGAATAAGTGTCAGCAGTTTTTCTGGTGCCATATAAACCCTGTCATTAGTGTAGTGTTTGGGAAAATAAGTTTGCTTTTTTCTGCAAAACCCTATTATAAGGAGGGCAAGAGGATCACTGTCATCTTGGCATTGAGTAGCTGGATGTGGTGATTGACCAAGAGGGTTGAGACAGGTGATTGCCAACTACCAAAAATAAGATATATCAACAAGGGAAAGTTGGGGAGAGAGGATCCAGGGGGAGAGTCACCATATTCTTGGTAGAAGAACAGGAGTCCCCATACATCAGCCTGAGGGAAGAACAAAGACTGTTACTAAAACAGGCTGCCACTTGCGATTGCAAGCCGTCAGGGATGAATGCCCTACCATTCCAAAACCACTGGCCCTGCTTGTCCATTGTACAGAACAGCTTTGGGATTGATGAAGTATTCTCATCTGTCATTGATCGTATATTAAAAATACAGCAATTCCTTCCCCAAGTCTTCATTGTAAAGCCCAACTGCATCCAAGATCAAAAACAAAATTAATAAAAACATATGGTGTTTACAGATAGTTGGGCCTTTACTTCATATGTCCAAATACATTCTGTCAAATATGCTCATTTTGTTGATCACAAAACACTTCACTTTATTTTTAAGAAAACATCCTTGATATTTTTCCAAATGGTTCTCTGGGTTTCATTAGATCTTTGCAACATACACTATAATTGCTGCCTACTGTCAATAAGACCATAAGAAATAGGAACTGGAGTAGACCATTGGCTCCTCAAACCTACTTCAACACACAATACGTGGCCGATCTGATATTTCTCTGGTCAATTTTCCTACCTTTCCACACAGCTCTTGATTTACCTACTGATCAAGTTCTATCTATCTCAGTCTTGAATACACAATAACTCTGTCCCCACATCTTTCTGTGCAAGGAGCTTCAAAGACACTAAAACCTCAAGAAAGTCCTCCTTATCTCAGTCTTAAATTAGCACTCCTTTTTTGTTCTGAGACTATGCCTTCTGGTCCTAAATTGCTTTTGAGAGGAGATGGCCTCTTAGCATTTACTATGTCAAATCCCTTAAGAATTCTATATGATTCAATGAGATCACCTCTATTCCTCTAAATTCCAAAGAAGAGAGTCCCAACCTGTTTAACTTTTGCTCATAAGACAATTCTTCCATAGCAGGAATCATCTTGGTGAACTGTCTCTGAACTATCTTTCCTGTAAGTGAGGAGACCAAAACTGTTCCCAGCACTCCAGATGTAGTCTCAACAGCACCTTGTACACATTCAGTAAGGCTCCCCTACTCTTGTATTCCAACCCCCTTGATATAAGGGTCAACATTCCATGAGTCTTCTGATTACCTGCTGCACATGTGCTAGCTTTCTGTGTTTCATGCATTAGTAGCCCCAACTCACTCTGTGTAGCAGCTTTCCTCCATTTAATTAATACTGTTCTCTTGTTCTCCCTTCCAAAATGAACAACTTCACATTTTCCCACAGGATATTCCATTTGTCCACTTAAACTATTAATGTCTCTCTGTAAACTGTATGTATTCCCTCTCACAATTTGTGTTTCCACCTTCTTATGTGTCATCTGCAAATTTGGCTACAGTACATTTGTTTCTTGCTTCAAAACACTGATATATTTGTAAACGGTTGTGGTCCCAGCAGGTGACCCCTGTGGAAATCCACTGGTTGGAGGTTGCCAACCTGGAAAAGAACCCCATATCCCCACTTGCTATTTCCTGTCAATTAGCTAATTCTCTATCTACACCAGTACACCACCTCCAACCCTGGGCATTTTTCTTATGACTTAACCTTCTGTGCGGAACCTTTTCGAATGCCTTCTGGAATTCCAAATACAAGACAGGTCCCCTTTTATCCATTCTGGTTGAGACTTCCTCAAAAAATCTTTAATTTATTAGTCAGATGCTGTTTCCCTTTCATGAAGCAACGCTGACTCTGCTTGATAGATTAATTTTCCAAATATGCTGCTGATGCTTCCTTTATAATTGATTCTAACAACTTTCCAACAGCAGATGTTAGGCCACTAAATTTAGTTACCTTCTTTTTGCCTCCCTTTTTGAATAAGATGTCACATTGGTATTTCTCCAGAATCCAAGGATTTTTGGAAATCTACAACCAATACATTATCTCTGTAGCTGCTTCTTTCAGGATCCTAGTTTGCAAGCCATCAGGGCCAGGGTACTTAACTGTCTTCAGCCCTATTAGTTTGTTTAATGCTACTTCCCTAGTGATGATGGCACTTAATTCCTCCCCCGTATTCTTTAGTATTAATAGGATATTCCCACTTGCATACAAAAATACAAATGTCATTACAGTTTCACTTAGTGTGGTAGAGCTTAAAGTATAAAGTGAGTAAACCTTTGCTGATGGAATTCCTCCCATTGTTGTTTATAAACAACAGAGTTGGAAACTGCCTGCTTGTCATTGGCGTGCTCTTACAGACCCAATGTCTACTTTTAAAAGCGGCAATTTTGACTAGGTGTGTTGGGCAGGAAACTTAAAGGGTCGAGTGGAATACTTGTTTACACCCCATCCAATATTATGTTTTTTGACTTAAATGTGTAGAAATAGTGAGTGTGGTGTAAAATCTGTTGCGTCCAAACAGATGAATAAACTCTAAAATTCTCCCATTATGTCTGGTAGTACAGTAATTTGATCTGTTCTGTCTCTGTAGTGCCTGGACCAAATGCTTCCAATGATAGTGGAATAACATTATCTATGATTATTATGGCTTGGGTGATTATTGCCCTTGTTTTATTCTTGATGAGACCTGCTAGTCTGAGAGGATATCAAACAGGTGGAAAATCACATGGCCCACAGAATGTAAGTTGGCTCAGATTACTTTTCACAAAGTTACCTTTTATTCATTCTACATAATGACATTAAATTACCTAAATTCACAGCTGCATCTGATGTGTGACACCAGATTTGTCTGGATGTACCCAGTGTTTCATGATCTAAGTTGTTCCAATGGCAGTATTTCTGAAACTGCAGGGAAATAAAAAGACTTGTTATTGTTGAATTAAGATTTCTTTAGCAAGATATGTCTGGGAATTTGTTCACGTCCATTTTGAGGTCTGGAGCAAGCAGCAACCACAAACTCTGCAAGGTATTTGTATATTACCATAGATGAACAAGTGTAGACCACTCAGTCCTATCAGCCTACTCTGCCATTCAATAAAATCGTTGCTGATTCGAACTCTACATTCCTGCATGTCCCCGATAATCTTTCATCCTCTTGGGAATCAAATATCTATCAACCTCTGCCTTAAAGATATTTAAATACTCTGCATCCACTGTGTTTTGAGGAAGGGAATTCCAAAGACACTCAGCTGTCTGAGGGTAAAAAAAACAATCCATTTGTGTCATTAAAAACTTCCAGTAGAGAGTTAACTATTTGTGTGAAACGTAATTGATGTTGATGCCCCACAATAGGCTCCAGAATTTGATGTGCAGTGTACCAGTTGGGAGGGAGCAAGCAAAATCCACAATTATGATGCTTTGGGCATAATGGAAAAATTAAAGTTTCATTCAAGTGCTGCTCTTACTTGCTACTCATTCTGATCAATTTCCAAGAACATTCACACTTGAGTCTGAAAGTCGTCATTTCAAGGATTTGAGGATAAAAGTTTAGAACATTCCAGTGAGTACTTAGGACTTAGCACTGTCAGAGGTTCTGATAACATATTAAACTAAGACACCTTCTTTCCTTTCAATTGGACCCTGATGATCCCATGACACAGTCTGGGCAATATTTATCTCCCAATCAATATCACATAAACAGATTATCTGGATAATATAACATCGCTACAGGATTGTGCTGTTAAAATCGGCTACCGCTTTACTTGAACAACAGCACTGACAAAATGTATTTCATTGTCAAAAAAAAGTTTAGGCTCATCCTGTGGTTGTGAAAGGCTCTTTTATAAATGCAAGTCTTTCTTCTCTGTATTTCTTCTTTGTATGAGCAAAAGAAACTAATGTAGTCCCTATATACACTTTTACCCAAATATAGTCATTTTTACAGGGGCAAGATTCTTTGTATATTTAAATTGGGCCAGTGCTGCTAAGGGCCACCACTGTCGGAGCACACCTTTTTTTAAACATGCATTTTAATCCACCATGTTGCCCACATTCTTGTTTAGTGTGTTTTTAATGACCTGTAAATTGGTCTTGTTTCATTGATTCAGTACTGCTGCAACCTGATTTTGTCAGAATTAAATCAATGCTGCATGTTACTGCAAAAATCTAAATTTGTAATGGTATTTAGGAGCACTTGTCAAATGTTTTCTGTTTATTTACTCTGCAGCATTCTAGTGATATATAAAGAACACTTAATTCCACTTTCATATTGCAACATTTTGCTGTCTGATTGTGTATTTGTGGAACCATTTGAATGTTGACAGTATGTACTTTTAAAATAGTCAAATAAGCTAATATTGCTGGAGTTTTGTAAATAATGCAGTTCAATTTATTTTCCAGAATCCAAGACAAGATCCCCCTGCTCCACCAGTGGATTAACTTTCTTCATATCTTGCAATTCAGTCAAGAAACCAATGACCAAATCATTGATTGTGGCCTGAATAACTCTCAAAATTCTTAGTTTACTTATATTTTACTGATATTTTCTTAAGTACTAAATATAGAATATTGATCTTACAGTTGAACAATTAATTGTACCACTTACAAATTCAAAAGTATATATTTGAAACTAATGAAGTCATTTCCTTTTACAAAAACAACATTGAATGCTGGCTCAGCATTCCGACAGAATAGTTGATTTTTACCCAACTGAGGACACTGCAGATGATTTTTTTTCATTTGAATTGCACAGGGACCGTGAGATATGTGCACATCTGGCACTGGACCATCACATAACACAAACAGGACCAACCAAATCAGATGTTTGTGGCCCTAATAGAGCTAAACCATTAACTTGTATTTGTGCCAGCATTGAAGCGGTTATGGGATGAGAGGGGTGTGGAGGTTGGGTAAGCTGGTTGAGCATTACTAACTAAAACTTTTGTTTTGGTTGTTCCTTTAAGTTTTTAATCTCAGTGGATCTTATCCATACTTCTTAGAGGTCTCTATCCAACAATCCTTTTGTAACAGTTACACTTGCAGACTACTTGAATATTTTGATTGCTTTCCTGTATGATGCAATACATTCCAGACCCCATTTCAAGTTTATCAGTATGCTTAAATTAAATGTTCTGGTATTCTGAGGTCAGTATAATTTATCTTCGTGCCAACTTATATTGCAAATGTATTACTTTTTAAAAATTATAAAATATCTTTGTCATGAGGATGCACTACCTCCTTCTGTGCGATTCCAGTGCCAACACCGTTCAGTAGCTGCTGCCAACTTGTAATATTCAACTGGGAGATAGCTTATTTCAACCATAGTCCACTACCGTAAGATTCATATTAGCATGGTGCCAGATTGTGTGTTACATATAGTTTTCTTTATTTCATGTTTATGATTTTTCTTTAAACTTCCTGTTGAACTGCTTCATACACAAGTTTAAAATACCAGTTTTTACAGGAAGTGTTGGTACTACCACATGTGGTACTCAGTTATATTGATGGCTCGAAATGATCTGTGTCTGAGCCATTCAAAATAAAAGCAAAATACTGCAAATGCTGGAGATTTGAAATGAAAATGAAGTACTAGAGAAATGCAGCAGATCTAGCAACATTCATGGAGAGGGAAACAGAGTTATTTCAAGTTGAATAGGACTCTCCAGAAGTGAGGGAAAAGTCATGGGTTTGTGCTATTGAAAGGGGCAGGGAGGAGCCAGTAGGACAGATGGTAAAGATATCCTAGAGCAAGATGCAAAAGGTGTGCTAATGGTGGTAGAGATGTGATGTAGACAAATAGTAGGTGTTAATGACAGAAAATTGATTGGTTCTGAGAAAACCCATAACTGGGAAATGGGAGTAAATGGAGAACAGAGTTTGTCATCTGAAATTGTTGAGTCCTGAAACCTGTAAAGTAACTAATTGGAAAATGAGGTGCTGTACCTCCAGCTTGCACTAGACTTTGCTCAAACACTGTGGGACGTGCAAAACAAAAGCAAGCAAGATGATGTATAGAAGTGTCAAACAACCAGAAGCTAAGGGTCATTCTTGTGGACGGAGCAGATGTGTTTTACGAAGTGGTCTCCCAGTCTGCATGTGGCCTTACCAATGTAGAGCAGACTGCATTGTCAGATGTGAATACAGTAGACTAGATTGAAGTACAAGAAAAAAGCTGCTTCATCTGGAAGGTGTCTTTGGGGCCTTGGACAGTGACAAGGAAGGAGAAAAAGAGGACGAGTGTTATAACTACCACTGGATAGGAAAGTGCCATGGAGTTGAAGAGACAGCACCTTATTTTCTGCTTAGACACTTTATATATTTCAGGAGTCAACGATGTGTCCAATTCTGTCCTCCATTTTGATTACACCACCCGCACACATGTTTTAAATATCAGATTTACAAGTCCCAAGTTCGCCCTTTGATCTGTATTGCAATAACTGATTTAGGCAAGAAATTTGGATACATTTGTTATAAGTGAAGAAAGAGCATGTTTTTATTTTGAACTTGCTAAAGGAATTTCATGTGTACAGATGTTGATATTATTGAACCTAGCTGTGATGATCCTTGTGTTTGAATTACCACCAAATCAACCATGTCCAATCTGATGGATCAAAACCTTAACGAGAGAATGAAATTGGAGAAATGCTAAAATGTCTGGTGGTGGTGGTTCAGGTTACCGTTGTTCATTTGTTATGTAGAATGATAGAACAATCATAGACGATCATATTTGAGGAAAACATAAAATCATACTTTCTCTCCCACTGTTTGAAGACCCAGCTTATTTGAAACAAAATTACTTTGTAACAGTGTTCAATCTACAATGAGTTAAGTAGGTTGAGAGATGAGTAGAAATGCATTAAACAATCATTTACTAGCAATCAATATGGGATGATCTGCACCCACTGCTGGTTATAACCAGTTATTATTTTCCTTGTAACAAAGATGTATCTCCAATTTATTAAAATCCTTCAATAGAGTAATTCATGATACATGGACCATTTGCTCAAATTACATTTGAGGAGTTCAAGTTCATTTACTTTTGTAATTTGTAACAAACTTGTAATTTGTTAATCAGTGGATTCTACATTAAAGACTATGAGGTAGAACCAATGTTGTATTCATAGTGCCATGATTTTTTAAAAAGACAGGTGAGGAGTCATTGACTTTGGCCACTCTTTACCAAAATAATTGTGTATCTTGAGGATCAAACTTTCTGGAAAATATGGAAACAAGTCATACTTTATAATGTGAAATTATAATCCACAATATTGGTTTCTATTGAAGCATTTGAAAACAGATGTGAATTCCTGTTTGAATGTGCTCAGTTCTGTGCTTTGTTTCCACTTCTTATAATGTACAAATCAAATGTACCTTACAATTTACCGGTATAGGAGTGGGTGCTGAATTATGAAAATGAAACCATTTTGATTGTGTCAGTATCTTAAGAAAACACTACCAGCCATTTATTTTGTATTTCGGTCCCCTAAATTTAATAGATCTCCCAGACATGTCAAATTAATGCTGCTTCATGGTTTTTTTTTTTTTTAAATCTGCAGTTGAATTATTTTTAAAGTAACTTATTTCTCCAAGGGTCAGCTGTTCAAGTCATGAACTCCCACCTGAAATCTCAGGATTCTTCTGTTCCAGAGTGTAATTTAGGTTTGTGCTGGAAAGAGAATTTTCAGTTTGTGTAAAGGTTTCTATCTATTAGTTTAAAATGGTGTGACTGACATTGAACAAACCTCTAGACTATCTTAACATGATTTTCTATAAATTTCTGAGACAAATGTTTCTTCATTTTACTATAGAGAATGATGCTGCCTAAATACATGAAGGTCATTTTGTTTCTAATATCTTGTTATGGTTCAATTTAAATGGCAACTTTTAATGGAAAACACTTAACTTGATTTCAATGTACTGTTTTATTCCGTGATTCAGGTCTATGATTGAATCTCTTCATGCCTATATATTGTGCACTACCTGGAAACTTGTACTGAAACATTTTAGTTGATAACTAACTATTAAATGGTAGGAACTCCAAAAAGCAGAAAGTACATGTTCAATTTGAAGAATCTCTTTTTATAACTCCATAGGCAAGATCGAGAATCAAGAACCAAACACATGCCTTCTTCGATAAAAGACTCCCAACCACCCTCGGGGACCCCTTCTCCCACCTCCAACGTTCCTCCTCCTCTTGGACACCTCCTGGCGGGCTCTTGGCCGCCCTGGACTTCTTCATTGCTAACCGCCAATGTGACATCACCCAATCCAACCTCTCCCCCCTCTGAACATGCTTCACTCCACTCTCTCCGCACCAATTCCTGTTTCACTACCAAACCCGCTGACGAAGGCAAGGCGGTGGTAGTCTGGAGGACGGACCTCTATATCGCATAAGCTGAAAGCCAACTGTCCGACACAACGTCATACCTCCCCCGTTGACCACAACCCCACTATGGCCCAACAAGATACCATCTCCCACACTGTTCATGACCTCATTGCTTCTGGTGACCTTCTTCCTGCCCCCCCACACCACGACGCCCACCGCCTACAGCCTTGTAGTCCCCCAGGCCTGCACTGTCCGGTTCTACCTGCTCCCTAAGATCCACTCCGCATGCTCCTGCCCCCACCAAACTCATCTCTTCTTACCTCGACTCCAGTCTCTTTCCCCCTTGGTCCAGACACTCCCCACCTACATCTGGGACACAAACCACACTCTCCATCTCTTTGGTAACATCCAGTTCCCTGGCCCACAGTGCTTCATGTTTACTATGGATGTTCAATCTGTAACTAGTCCTCCCCCTCATTAACTTTTCCTTCAATTCTTCCCACTTTCTTCAAATCCAGGGGGTTGCCATGGGCACTTGCATGGATCCCAGCTATGCATGCCTCTTTGTTGGTTATGTCGAACAGTCCCTCTTCAGTACGTACACCAGTACTGTTCACCAACTCTTCTGCTGTTACATCAATGATTGCATCGATGCTGCATCCTGCACCCAGGCTGAACTGGGGCAGTTCAACTTTGCTAACCACTTCCACCCCACCCTCAAACACACTTGGTCTATTTCAGACACCTCCTTCCCTTTTCTTGACCTCTCCATTTCCATTTCTGGCAACAGTTCACGGACCAACATTTACTATAAACCCACAGACTCCCATAGCTACCTAGACTACACCTCCTACCACCCTGGATCCTGCATAAACTTCATCCCGTTTTCCCAATTTCTCCATCTCTATCGCATTTGCTCTGACGAGAAGACATTTCACACCCAAGCATCCCAGATGTCCACCTTTTTCAAACGAAGCTCTTTTTTTTTTCTCCCCCACCACCCCCCTCCTCTGTCATCCAGACAGGACTCCACCACGCCTCCTCCATCTCCCACTCCACAGCTCTTAACCATACCACTCCCCCCAAACATAATAAAGGTAGGGTCCCTTGTCCTCACTTTCCACCCCACCAGCCTCCGCATCCAACATATCATCCGCAAACACTTCCAACTCCGAATAGACCCCCACCACCTGGAACATCATCCACTCCCTACCCCTCTCTGCCTTCTGCAAGGAACATTCCCTTGGCCACTCCTTAGTTTGTGCCACACTCCCCAACATCCACTCCAACACCCCAGTACCTTCCCCTGTCACCGTTAAAGATGCAGCACTTGCCCACACACCATCTCCCTCACCTCCTATCCAGGGCCCTGAACAGTCCTTCCAAGTGAGACAGAGCTTCACCTGCATCCCTTCCAAGCTAGTCTATTGCATCCAGTGCTCCTGATGTGGTCTTCTGTTTGTCAGTGAGACTAAGCATAGACTAGGTGACTATTTCGCTGAGCATCTTCGCCTAGCCCAAAACGGTCAACCCCGGCCCACTCCCCCTCTGACATGTCCGTCCTTGGCCTTCTCCAGTGTCGCAACAACTCTGAACACATTTGAAGAACAACATCTGATCTTCTGCCTGGGCACCCTACAGCCCAGAGGACTCAACATTGAGTTCTCTAACTTCAAATAACCTTCCCACCTGTCCCCTGGCTCCCCTGCGAGCCCCACTTCCTTCCATTCCACCTTTCTGACCCATCCTTCCAGCCACTAATTGGATTCATCCCTCCCATCAACCAACCAGGTCGTACCTACTACCAGTGTCCATCTATCACCATCATTCCACCTCGACCCCTCCCTCCCCCTCTTTATCTGCAGCTCCCCCTACCCCCCACATCCAGTCCTGAGAAGGGTAATACCCAAAACGTTGACTTCTCCTTTCCTCCAGATGCTGCCTGGCTTGCTGTGTTCTTCCAGCGTCCTGTTTGTCTACCCCTGTAACAAGACAGGTAAAATTTGGAAGGATGGGGCAGTCTACCTTTTTTTTTCATAGTACCAAATATCCACACAAGAATGGGCAACTTGATTGCCCATTTTCTAAGATACAAGATGTGAAGACCCACACAAGGGAATAGGGCGATAGTACCTTTGGGAAGCCCTCCCTAAATTAATGTATCTAATATTGTCTTACTGCTATCAATTGTTACAGGAGGATTGACTCTTTCATTGTTGAAGTTATGTAATTTAGATTTCTAACCTTGTCGAAAGATGATATCATGTAACTGTTAACATTGACTGCTTGCTTGATCCTTGATTTCTGCTATAGTACTGTAATTAGTGCTGTTCAGAGTTTTAAACATTATTATTGGGAAGATGGCTTTTACTATGCACTTTTTTGTTCAATATTAAATGGTTATAAATATGGAAATGAAGTTTGCTGTTGTTTCCTATGAATAGAAACAGAAGGTACTGGTTTGAAATAAATAATTGGACTACTTTTGGTGACATTAAGCTGCTATTTCCCACTGCTTAATCATAGCTTAATTCTTTTCAATAAAGTCTGTTATTTTGTTCATACAAATAAAACCATCAAATCTGACTTCAGGAACTCTGGAAGCTAAATATTTTTTTAACCCACAATGTAATTTTTAACCCCACACACCAGGCCTTGTTATCACACAGCCTGCCATTACTCACTACCTATTGTTAGTAACCAACTTCCCATTAACAACTATTCACCCTCCTAGCCAGATTGTTATCAACTCCTTTGTCTATCCAACTGCTGTTCTCTCTCTTTGGGCTCTATCCTATCATTTACTCCCTACCCCATCCCCTTTCCTATATTCTGAATATAAACCAACATTTTCCCAGCTGCCATCAGTTCTGAGGAAGGGTCACTGGACCTGAGACGTTAACTCTGATTTTTTTTTCTTCATAGATGCTGCCAGACCTGCTGAGCTTTTCCAGCAACCTCTGTTTTTGTACGTAATTTTTAAGTACTATTTTGACAATGCAGAAGAAATGCATTAGTTTGGTGTCATGTTTTGGCCTATTCTGCTACATAAGGTCAAACAATTTCTAAAATTCAGTACAAATTGGTTTCTGTTTCAACCAACCATAAACATGGCCTGGATGTTCAGGTATCGGGAGTTGAAATAATTCAAAGTTGGCAAACCCACCTCAGGAGAAAATGCCAGGAAAGATGGAATTTTGATTCAGTGGGGAGGGGGGAACCGTTGCAGCTGCTAACTTGAGTTGGGCCAGCTGACCTGGGAGAAAGTTCAGAGGCAGAGGGTATTCATGTAATGGGACTTTGTTTTTATTCTAACTGGGACAAAGGCCTTCCAGGCCTCGCATTCTCCATGCATCATCTGAGCTACCTCTGTCCTGTCTAGCAGCAGCTTCCCAAAACACCCATGTTATGTCATCTCCATGTACCATTCACCCACATTATAGGGATCATTGCATACAATGACAAGTTTTTTTTTCCCAAAGAAAATTTAAAGTCACTGAAAATATTCCACCATGTTTCCCTAATTTAAAAAAAAGCTCTCCACTACAGAGCAGTAGAAGTGTCAGCTATCCAGACCTCTTTTAAATAAAAGTTTCACTACCTGAAACTGCAGTCACTTGAAACCTTTTCACCTTGAGGAAACCAGATTGTGAAACTGATAGGAGATTACCCTGAAATACTCCATTGAAACACCTGAATTCAGTATTTTTAATAGGCACCCAAATCACCCTAACTCTGAAAATCCGGGTCTACACTTGTGGTTCTACTTTTGTCTGTAATGTATTTGAGAAATATTCTGTCTCACATAACAATTATACAAAAAATGCTGCTATCCTTTTTTCCCCGCACTCTCTCCTCCATCCTTTCAATCTCAGTCTTCCTCAACCCACCACCTTTACCTCTAACCAATACACCTCCTATCCGGATGCCTCGTACAGCAACTGTTCTGCCCAAGATCACAAGAAATTAGAGAGTTGTGAACACAGTCCAGTCCATCATGAAAACCCTCCCACCCCAGTTATACTCTCTTCCATTGGGCAGAAGAGACAAAGTTCAAAAATACGTATCAATGGATTTAAGAACAGCGTCTTCCCCGCTGTTATCAGACTTATGGACAGACCTCTTGTATATTAGAGTTGACCTTTCTTTGCAGCTGTAACACATTATTCTGCATTCTGTTCCATTACTCTGATGTATTTATATAAGGAATGATTTGTCTGGTTAACATGTAAGACAATACTTCTAACTGCATCTCGCTACATGAGACAATAGTAATTCTAATCTAATCTCTCACCTTCTGTGCTGTATTGCCATTATGCTTCTTACTACCCCCATTCTCTCTCCTTTCTCTCATCTATCCTCACTTTGTTTGTCTTACTCTGCCCCCTTTAATCTCAAGAAAATAACCTATGGTGCTTTGCACTCCACCCTCTTCCATAGGGCAAAAGATGTAAAAGTTTGAATATGCGTACGATCAGATTCAAAAAGAACTTCTTCCCTGCTGTTATCAGACTTTTGTTAATGTTGCTGTCTCTGCACGTTCTCAGCAACTCTAACACTGTATCCTGCATTCTGTTCTTTAGCCTGGTGCACTTGTATAGTACAATCTGCCTGTAAAGCACATAAGACAATACTTTTCACTGTACCTTTGTATACATGACAGTAAATCAAATTAAATCAAAACTCTCCGGCTTGAAGTAAAACAAATTTTTTATTAAACAAACACTTTTCCTTTACATCATTCCTTTCCTGTTCTTTGATGCTTTTTGTGTCCGGTTATGTGATTAATGATAGGAACCCTATGAGTAAAGCAGACATTGGGCAATATGAAATGCTCCAGAAGGCTGTGGGTTTGGCACCCCTTCCCTGTTGGACTTCTTAGTAACAATCTTGTATTGATATTCTTTAGTTAATCTTTTGCCCACAAATGGATACATTCTCCATCCATATTATCAAAATCTTTTGTTGTATTAAAGATTTCTATTAGGGCCACTTTTTCCGGGGCAGAGAGATTCCACCTGTTCCTCCATGCATTTCTGGTATCCTTGTAACCTGTACTTTTTGAGTACTGCATGCACTTCTGATCACGCTATATGTGTGGTCTGACAAAGATTCAATACAGATCCTACTTCCCATTTTCAATTCTCTCACTACCCTGAAATAAAACTTTTTTTTTGTATTTCCTAGTATCTTCTGCTATTAGTCAGCAATGTTTATCAATTAGTGTATTTGTACTTATTTTCAATTATAACTATATATAAACTTGTAATTTTAAAGAGCCTTCCATTGTATCTATCATTCATTTTTCTGACATTCCTTCCCCACCCCCAAGCAGCCTTGTTGGTGTATTATTTACTTTGCTCTTTGTGTACAGGATCCGTTCCCTCCCTTTTCACACCTTAATTTATACTGTATACATGTCTTTCATTCTTCACAATTGACAACTCCTTTGTCTTTGAATTGGGCCTCTACTTCTGTCAAAGGTATATTTTTTAAAAAAATTTCCAACAGCTTCCTGTTCTGAAGCAGACCCATACAGGACTCAATATTAACCCCCAGACCCAAAACGTCAGCTTTCCTGCTCCTCTGATGCTGCTTGGCCTGCTGTGTTCATCCAGCTCTACGCCTTATCTCAATATTAGCTCTGTTTCTCTTTTGACAGATGCTACCAAACTTGGTGAATTTCTGCAGCATTCTGTTTGTTACAGATTTTCAGCATCTGCAGTATTTTGCTTTTATTAACCTACCTATACCTTTTTGTAGCCTCTGTGTCCACTTCACAACTTACTTTCTTCTCTATCTTTGTGTCATTAGCAAACCTTTCGCAACCTTACTTTGGTCCTTTCGTTCATGTCATTTAAATAAATTGTAAAAAATGGAGGTGTCAGCATTGATCCCTGTGAATACCACTCATTACATCTTGCAAATCAGGATATGCCTACTCTGTTTACCTTCTCTTAGCTAGGCAATCTTCTATTCATGCCAATATGGAAGCTGCTACACAAACTAGCCATATCTAAGACTGTAGGATGAAGTCATTCACAGTCTGGGGACTTGTCAGTCTGCAACTTCAAGTACCACTTCTCTGAAGACCGTAATTTTCCTAAGTTTCTCCCTCCCTTCCATTTCTCATTTATAGACATTTCTCAAATGTTAGTGAAGATCAATCCAAAATACCAATTCAATTCATCTGTCATCTCAATATTTTCCATTCATAATTACCAAAATGAGGACTCACTTTGCATAGTACCAATGCTCACTTTGTTAACATCTATCCAGTTCCAAAAAAAAGTAGCTTTTTTTAAATATTTCTAGCTAGTCTTTGTCTTGTGCTATAATTTCCTCCAATTTCTAATCTTTTTCAGTCAATTCTTGCTTTTTATAATATTCTGTCCAATCTTCTGACTGGCTATCCATCACTGCACAATTACAGTCATGCTGCACTGAAACAGAATCTTCGTTCCAAATAGTCCATGCTGACCATATTCCCAAGCTAAACCCGTCCCATCTGCCTGTATTTGACCCATATCTCTCTAAACTTTTCCTATTCATGTTCTTATCCAAATGCCTTTTAAACATTGTAACTGTACTTGTATCCACCACCTCTTCTGGCAGTTCATTCCGCACATCAACCATCTCTGTTGTAAAAAAAAAGTTGTCTTTCATGTCCTTTTTAAACCTTTTTCATCTTAAAAATATGCCCCTTGTTTGAACCCCCACCTTAGGAAAAGACCTTTACTGTTCATCTTATCTGTGCACCGTATGACTTTATAAACCTCTATAAAGTCACCCCTTGACCTTCTATGCTCTAGTGAAAAATGTCCTGGTCTATTTCGCCTAATTTTATAACTCTTAACCTCCATTCTCAGCAACATCCTGGTAAGTCTTTTCTGGACCCTCTCCAGTTTAATAACGTCCTTCCTATAAATGGGCAGCCAGAACTGGACACAGAAGAGACTTCACTAGTGTCCTGTACAACCTCAACATGACATAAGAACTAGGAGCAGGAGTAGGCCATCTGGCCCTTCGAGCCTGCTCCGCCATTCAATAAGATCATGGCTGATCCTTTCGTGGACTCAGATCCACTTACCTGCATTCTCAACGTATCCCTTAATTCCTTTATTGTTCAAAAAAAATCTACCTTTTTAAAAAAAACATTTACTGAAGTAGCGTCAACTACTTCACTGGGCAAGGAATTCCATAGATTAACAACCCTCTGGGTGAAGAAATTCCTTCTCAGTTCAGTCCTAAATCTGCTCCCTCTAATCTTGAGGCTATGCCCTCTTGTCCTAGCTTCACCTGCCAGTGGAAACATCCTCTCTACTTCTATCTTATCTATTCCCTTCATAATTTTATATGTTTCTATAAGATTCCCCCCTCAGTCTTCTGAATTCCAATGAATATAATCCCAATCT